CTATCATCCCTATCCACGAGGAAGAGGCACTTACCACCCCTCTGGTGTGTTTGCAGTCTGCTGAAGTTGCTGGTAAAGGTGGTTAGTGGGTGTAATTTTTGTCCTTCTAGCTTTCCAACGTTGGTATTCCAAGCCATCTTTCCAGAATCTTTCCAATAGAAGACATTTCATTAAAACTTATGGAAAGAGGATTTAGTGGGGAGAAACCTGTAATTTAATCAAATGAAAACCTTCTCCCGTTTTAAATTTGGCACACATTTTAGGTACTCATGTGTTATGGGTTATTTTTAGTTATTTTGACCTCTTTTTTTTTTTTTCCCCTATTTTGGCAACCAAGTTGAATTTGGCTGATAGGATGAGAGGGGAAGGGGTACATTAGAAACCCTGTGGGATTGCACAATTCTTTACTGAAATCAGCACATTTTTATTAAGGGGTAGGCATGAAGCTATGAAGCTTCCCATCTGTTAGTTTCTTCAGAGTGCTGACAAGAACATTCTGACTTCCAGCTTGTAAATATGTGTGTGTGTGTGTGTGTGTGTGTGTGTGTGTGTGTGTATATATATATGTGTATATATATATATATATATATATATATATATATATATATATATTTTTTTTTTCTTCTTTTGTCCATTTACTCTGACCAGAGGGCTGTCTTAGTGGTCAGAGACAGACAAAAAAATTATGCTTTAGTTCTCTAATTTGGCATTGTAAGTAATGGAACCATCCAAAATGTCGGTCTTATATTTTTGTCAGCTTGCAAAATACATATAAAACCCACCCAAATGCTACCTACTCCTAGCATTGATCTTGATCGTTTTTTTTTGTTGTTGTTGTTGCTCCTCATATCCCTGTTGCAGGGGAAACCCACACCCTGCTGCAGACAGTCACCCCTGAGCTCTCCAGTAAAGACAGGGGAAAGGGGAGACCTTTGGATCTGTCGCCTGCTTCCTTTCACATGGAAAATGCTTAGCTTCTCTTTCTGGTAATAATGGGTGGGCCAGAGGGTGATGTCCTTTTTGCTTCATTTCAAGGCTATCTTAGTTAACCAACTTTATGTCCTCTCACTCCAGCTCTGCTCGCCTCCTTTCCCCACCCATTTCTGTCCTAGCTTTGTTGATGCCAGCCAGTCTGGCAGGTCTCAAGAAGTCCCCCCAACCTCTCAGAAGAGGTCTCCCTCTTATGTACTCTGGTGAGAGCCTGTGATTCTCCTTCACAGAGTTATGCATGGTTCTAATTGTTTAAGTTGTTTTTTTCCTGCAATTAATTATTTAATATCAGTTATAGACAGAACTCTGAGATGGCCCCCAAGATTCCCACACCCCGGTGTCTAAGTCCCAGATGATCCCCTCCCCTTGAGTGTGGTCACAACCTGTGAAAAGGATAGGACAGCACTCCTAAGTCATGTACCATTACATGGCAAAGGTGAGAGTATCTTGCAGATGTAATTAAGGTCCCTAATCAGTTGGCTTTAAGTTAATTGAAGGGATATTATCCTGGGAGGGCTAAACTTCATCAGGTGAGCCTTTGAGCAGAGGAACTAGGTAGTCCTTGAGTCGGAGACACTTCCTGCTGGCCTGGAAAAAGTAAGCTGACGTGACTCTCACAGCTGCAAGAAACTGCTTTCTGCCAACAAGCAGGGAGCTTGGAGGAGGTCTCACAGCCTCCAAGGAGTTCACAGTCCTGGCCAGCGCCTTGACTGCAGCCTCATGAAGCCCTGAGCGGAAGACCCAGCTAACCCCTGTGATCTCCAGAACTGTGAGATAATAAATGGGCGCTGGTTTAGCCTCTCAGTATGTGGTCATTTGTTATGCAGCAACAGGAAGCCAATACAATATCTCAGAGTCAGTGTTTCCCATTCACCCTGTGTTCAGTGCATAGCACACACAGCATCTAACACTGGAAAGCTTGCTAAGTATTTACCAAAGGACAGACTGGCCTGAGCGAATGGACAGCTTCAATCAATTATGAGTTGCCAAGTGCACATCAAACTATAAAGAGAAATTTCATGAGGATGAAATATAAATCAGCCAGCTTCCATGAGTCTGGCCAGGCATCATGTAAGTCACTCCTCTATTTGATGAGAAGGATCAGGTGGAAACAGAGATGAAAGATCTTTAATAAATCCCCCTCATATTTGTATCTCTTCTTAGGTCCTCAGCTGGATTTTAAATTCTTTTCCAAATCCTTCCTGCATTGACTGAGCCTTTTGAAAAGTAATTTACCCACCCCTTCCTTCCCCTTCATCTCCCCCACCACATCCAGGGGACCACCTGCTCTGCCGCACTGCACTCAGCTGCAGGCCTGGACCATGAATCCTGGGCAAGTTACCCAAGCAAAGCCCAGCAAGGCTCAAGGACAGGCTCGTGATTCAATGAGAAGCAGTGTTTCCCCCTGAATCAGCCCAAGCCCGGCCACATCTGAAGGTTGGTATGGCCACGAGCTTAGCCACGGCCCGGCTGTGTGTGGACACATGGATCGCCTACCGTCTCAGATGAGACAACACGTCTGCTGATTCACTGGCACCTGGGTTCCCTGGCTGGACATCTGGAAAGGGCTTTTTTTTTTTTTTTTGCTAGCTCGAGTTTTATTTATCTAAAGTGATCTTTTTAAAAATCATTTTAGATTTCTTCAAAGTGTCTGGACCTGGTGTGGAATGTGGTTTGTTTTGTCCACATTGCAGCAGACTCTCTGCCATAACGTGCTGAAATGTGGGGGCTGCCATCAATGTACCAGCTGATGCCAACTTTTACGGAGTCTCAGTGTAGCACGGTTGAGGAAAACAGGAGAAAGGAAAGAGCCACTGCACACTGTGGCGCCAGGTAAAGCTTATGCTCAGGTAACCTGAATACACCTCTGTGGAATTCCACAAGTCAAATGCCTGAAGGGTCGATTACCAAAGATCAGAGCACACGCTGAAGTGGAGGGTTTGAAATTGGGTGTATTTGAGATGATAAGAAACAAAACTTAATCTGCTGGGTTTAACAGTTTACTAAAGGTTTCATGTGCATTAGGTCATATGTTCTCACAACACACAATGTGGCAAGGAGCACGTGTAATCTCAGCTCCTTTTTATACAGGAGGGATGAAGGAAGCACCAGAATGCTGTGGAAAAGAGAAATGGATCCAAGTCTGGGATGTGCTGGGGGAAAATAGCCTTTTTAAGCTTCTAATTATTTACCTATAAAAATCAGTTAAGAATTCCTTCTCAACAGGATTATTATTAGGATAATAAGAATGTGTATGTGAACGGACCTGGGCTCTGAGACATAATAAATGCTTAGTTAATTATCTTGAATCTGAAGGCTCAGAGATATTTAGGAATTTGTCAAGGGTGCTTAACTTGTAAGAGAAAGAGCTGGGAATCAGATCTTTGCTTCCCAATTCTTTTACTGGCATCTAGAATTTGACCCATTAAGTGCTTTAAAAACAACAACAACAAAAAAAAAACAAGTCTACCACTGGTATTCATGTTCCCGTTGGACTCTAAGAAGTTTTTGGTTGGCTGTTTCTTTGTGACTGGCTTCCGTCTGTCCAGTTCCCTCCCTAGTCAGCTGACCTTTAATCCCTTTTCCCCAGAAATGTCTTTTTACATGTTCAGGATATATCATTAATTGAAAACAAAAAGCAAGTTCAAAAAGCACACATAATAAGAATGATACTATTATTATCAAAGAAAAATGAGTCAATTTTATATAAAAATGACATAGGATAACTATCAGCACATTAAGGGTCAGCCGAGTGGCGCGTTGGTTAAGAGCTCACTTGGGATGCCAGCTCTGAGCAGCAGGGCCCCATTTTGGATCCCACATGAGAGCCAGTGATGCTGCATCCTCTACAGCTAAGATGGTGAACAACAGCTCGACCTGGAGCAGGGCTGCCATGAGTCGCCAGCGACGGCGTAGGCTGCAGTGAAGCTGCAGTGGGCTGCCATAAGCTACTGTGAGTGGCTGGCAGCCGGCATGAGCGGCCATCCAGTGGCAGGTGACCAATCTGCCTCACCTGGGAACAGCGCAATGATAATACCAACATGGGCCAGTGAAGTGATGTCCTCCACAACTAGACTGAAGAACAAAAGACAGCAACTTGTCTGTTCCCCTTCCTCAATTCCCCAATGTTGTTCTCCTCCCCCAATTCCCCAATAAAACCTTTAAAAAAATACATATATATATCTATATAGATAGATAGATAGATAGATAGATATCAGCATATTAATAGTGGTTGTCTTTGAGCAGTGGGATTAGAAGCAACTTTTATTCTAATTTTTGCCTTCTAGAGTTTCTAAACTCTCTACAAAAAAATATGCATTGCTTTAGTATTAGGAGAAAAAATATTCCCCATTCTCTTTAAACATCTCTGAAATCTCCCTTGAACAAACTTAGATCTTTTGTCTCTGGGTTATAAATTACCAACTGGTAGATCCTTGACATCTACATTCCCTGCATATTTTCCCTCCAACCCCCATCAACTCTGCGTCAGGTTCATTCTTCTATATTAATCCATAGGCTCCAAGCACCTAAAGCTTCTAACAAGCTCAAATCATAGAAACAGCTGTCAGCTCTTCCACTAAATGTGTCAAATCCTTCTCATAATTAAAGTAATAACTCAGATGCTCACCTCTGAATACAAGAAGCCCCAACATGTAAGGTGTAATTCCTAATCAGGCCCCTCAATATTTGCCAGCTCTCTTACATTCATGTCCACTCACAAATTATACACCATGACCTTTTCTCCTCCGAGATTGCAAACTCCCTGAAGGTGGGTATTGATTATTTCCATCTTCTTTAAATTTCAAGAAGACCACATGTTTCTCTCTGAGCATCTAAGTGTGTTTATGAACTGTGAGTAAATTATGCCTTGGCAAATTAGCAGACTGAAGTGTTGAATTTACACACATTCTGACTTGTAAATTTAACCACTATTAACTTTTAATAAAAGTTTTAATTTTTTTTTCCTTTTCAAAATTTCGGATAATATTTCTCACTGAGGACTTCTTTAAGCCAAATTTAACATTTATAGCTCCAACTGTTTTTGGAAGACAGCCAGCCAGACAGTCAAATGCATTAGAGAGAAGGGTTTCTTTTTCTGTGTCATGTTTATTCCCGTCAAAGGCAACTGAAAGATGTTTCTCTCCAAGATTTTAAGAGATCATCTGTCCTGTGTGTGACAGCTTCACATTTGGAAAGAAGTCTACTGTAAAAGAAGGAAAAGAAGAGGTTTAACATGAAATTGCCTGGTTAACACGATGCACAGGGATGGGCAGAGCAGTTGAGACATGGAAGAAAACAGCAGACGCCTTAAGTGTCTGCGAATTTTACAGAGTCATCAATGGCCTCTTAGTAGAGTTAAGATTGAGTAATGCATCTTGAGAAGCCCTTAGACAGAGCTTCTGCCATAGAGAGCCAGCAGGCGGTTTACTCACCGACCCTAAAAATGTATTCCATCTTATAGAAGGGCCCTGTGTAGGTTGCAGGTTAAGTGGGAGGAAAGGTGGCCTTCCTGAGACAAAGTGGAGTAGGTAGTCACCTAAAAAGCATGTCTTAAGGAGACAATGACCTATCAGCCCACAGATCTCCAACTTTCATCATTAGAATCAATTCTTTGGATGAATAAATATTGGCCCAAATTGGCCTTTTAAAATAGGGGCTTGGATACACTCCCAGGTATAATTGTCCTCTGAAACCTTAGTACCAAACATTCATCATGTATACTTCTATTATTCAGTCACCCATCAAGACTCAGAGAACACACAGAATAATCTCTGCTAGAAGCTAGAAGAGTAGAATGTTGTCTGAGATGAAGATGTCAGGCTCAAGAAAAGGCACCAAACAAGGGGAGATCTGGTTGGGGGGTAGAGCAAGAAAGCCTGGAAATATGAGTATGACGCCAAATTGGAAAATACAAAGACAAACCTTGTCTATCTATTTATTTTATCTGGGTGAGTCCCAGAGAGAGGCCAAGTCAAAGGAAATTATGGAAGAAAGAATGAGGAGTTGGGGATACAATTATAGTTGACATTCAATATTACTTTATATTGGTTTCAGGCATACAGCCTACTGGTTAGACATTTACATAATTTACAGAGTGAACCCCCAGTTAGTCTAGTACCCACCTGACACTATATATAGTTGTTACCATATTATTAACTATATCCCCTGTGTTGTACTTTACATCCTCATGACTATTTGTAACTACCAATTTGTACTTCTAAATCCCTTTGCACTTTTCAGCCAGTCCCCAAACCCCCCTTCCATCTGACAATGATAAGTTTGTTCTCTGTATCTGTGAATCTGTTTCAATCTTGTTTGTTCATTTATTTTGTTCCTTAGCTTCCATATTTTCATTCTTACAATTCTTTTAAGTATCTAAATTCTAAAGTAAAATTTTCCATAAAACATTCATGGAAAGATAATGGTCTGCCTGTCTAACCTGTCCAGTAGGACTTACTTAAATTAAACTTACTATGTATGATACGCTGAATGTTTCAGATTATATCAGAAGGTCAAGTGTAACTTACAAAGTCAGAAAGCTTCTTGTTTTTACACAGAACCTTAGCGATGTCTTTCAAAAAAAATAGTTATAGCAAACACATTGGAAACTGTACAAAAACAGTGGATGTGAAAGCTCCATTTTGCTCACTTTTACTCAAGGGTCTGTGTCCTTCAGGCACTAAGATTTGCCCTCATCAATCAGCTATGTAAACCATACCAATAAAAGCTTTTTTCACCAGCAACTTGTTTCAGAACCTCACAAAATAACTCATCTAAATGAGGCTGGAGGACAGCTAAGTGAGTGACTAGTATTTAACACACAGGGAAGAACAGGAAACTATCTTTATGTTTATTATTGGAAGGAGACACTGACAACTTGTGACAAACTACTAAGAAATACTTGAGTCCCAGAAAATGTCACTCACCCATTTGCCTAAATACTGCAGTGAAATTTGGAAGTGTCTCAGTTTAAAAGTGGGGATTGCAAAATATTGCTATAGTGAACACAAAATGAGCTGAAGACAGTCATTTTAATTTTGATATTTAAAAAATGGAAATTACAAGTTTCTGGATAAAAGAAATGAGGCCTCATTTTTATTATGACATAATTTTGCATTTTTCTGTCTGGTCAAATAGAGTACAATTAACAAGATTCTCTTTCAATTTCCACTTAGCTACACTCTCTGAAACCAAGCAGGCAATGAAACCTTTTAATCTGACACATCTTATGAACTTCATGGAAAATTTTTTGTAGAGAAAGATTGCATGCTTTGGACAAGGCCTGTGATTCATGGAACTAAAAAGCATCCTATCCTTTCTTCCCTTCTACAAAACTCCAATGGTTAATAACATCTCAATCACAATATCTCTACCTGTACTAACCAAAAAAAAACAAAACAAAAATTACCTTTCTAGATTTAATGTTTCCATAACTACAGACCTAACCAGATGATCTAGACAAAGTATATAATATCATACTGTTTCTTTTGCATTGATTTTGGTGAAAAAATTGTTCTTGTCAATTTCTATTGCTGATTGAATTGTGTTCCTCTATCCATGAAAAGACAGTTCATTTCCTTTTCAACGTGCTCAGCACTGAACACTTCACTGCACAGTAATAAAGACTGCTGTCAATCGACTGACTATGACATTTCCAGCATGTCAAACAGCCAATTTTTGATTATCCTGGCCATCAGGGAAACATGCATAAATTCAACTGCTAATCATTCCAAATTATACTTTTGCTGAAATTTTTCACCAAGCCTGATGATAACACGTGAAAGTGTTATTTTTTAATTTTTCTTCTTTCATTTATTTTTGAAGATTCACTGTAGACAGTGAAATAACAAACGTATGTAATCTTTTCCATCAGACAAGCAAACAACCGCAGATATCATTGTGCTTGCTTTATCTCATTAACATCATCCCATTAAAATAAGAGCTGAAGGTTACTTGCTTCAGATAGATGCTTACGAGCTAAATAATTTCCTCTGATCACAGGAATTCTGTACAATATCCCCCTTCCATTGTGAACAAGAAAGCAGAGCTTGATCTTTGGCTTTTGAGGTAAACGCAGTGGGAGAAGTTATCCCCAGTGTCTTGGTTGGCACACTGTTCACCAGGTCAGGAATTAAAGATGGCCTGTTCTGCCTACTTGTAATTTTAGAAAGTTTAGTGAAATAAAACTGATTTTTTTTTAGTTCCCTGTTTTCTAATTCCATATATGCTGAATCCTTTAAGACTTCCATCGATTTGTTCACCTACATATTAAAAACCAAGACAAGAGTAGGCCCTCAGCAAATTGTAAGTAAATCATTATCTCTTGTATGTTCTCCTTTTTCTCTTCTCCTCCAAAGCATCATCCTGACTCTCTTTCGTCTTTCCAAAATAACAACCCACAAAGTGACCCTGTTATAAATGGAACCCTAACCATCCTTCAAAGGTGACCTTTCCTTCATTCCATTCCTGGAATTCTGTTAACCACTTAAGGTAATCTGATAAACTATTGTTGTCTATGGTAACACTGGTTTAATAAGTTACTTCTCGTAGATCATACATTTGCCTTCCAATAAAAGCTCTCATTACCTTAAACATTTTCCACATTGTATTTGTGAAGATAGCGAAGGGCTCCCTGAAGTGCAAGAGTTCTTGAGAGTTTTTGATGCCTTCTAAGACCGATAATGGAGATATCTGGGGATTAGGAGAATCTGGACATAGTTAATGAAAATGCTAAACCTGCTATTTTCCTTTGACTTAACTAAGGTCAAAAAGTCACTCAGTGAACTGGGCACATTGTTGGATATAATTGGAGACATATCCTATTTCACCCCCATAGAGTTTTCTTCCACACCTTAACCTTTTATTTTCTCTCTGCTCAAAATCCCTCCTACCATCTATTAGTGCCAAATTTGTTCCTAATTCAATTACTTAAGCTTCCAGAAGAAAACAATAATGTTGGGAACCCAGATCTCTGATTTTTAAGTAGTGAGAGAGCAGAGAAAAACGCATTATTGCAATTGATTTAGCAGACATGGTAATTTCCCCAAAAAGAACTGTGTATTTCAATTTACGTAGTCACGACAGAGGGAAACAAGTTGTTTGAGGAAGGTGATAAGGAAGAAGAGCATTTGTAAAGGCTAATTTTCTAAGATTCTTACTTAATATCATAGCTCACAAGGGCCATGGGACCTAGTAGCATTGGAGGGAAAACACTCATCCCCCAAAGACTTAAATGACAATCAGACGAAAGCTTCTGTAAATATGTGAACTCACTGTGGCGATTTTCCTCAGCCTGCACACTGTTTATTCGTCAGATTCAAAATTTCCTGGCACCGCAGGGAGCTGTCCTTCTAATAAATCTCACAATCCAGAGGGATTTGGTCTGGTGCTCACAGGTTACTGTATTGTGTAGTCCCTAAAAAAGAAACAGCAGGGCATCTAATTCTATATCAGAGGCCCACATTCTCCCATAGGGGCATTATTTTAGAAATTAAAGGTGAAACTGAGAAATCCTACATTGCGCAGGAAATCGCCATCCATGTCAGTGACTCGCTGCAGAGAAAGACATTTAAAGAGAGTGTTTCTAATGTCCTGTTTCCCTCCCTGCAGCATTTCCGTCAGGGATGTAATGCTGCCATCATGCAGGCTATCACCACATATACTTTGAAATCATATCTGGTAACTTAATTTCTGGGGCCACTGAAACCCCTCTCTTAATGCGAACTTCCAAGTTGCAGCTTCAAAAGGACGTGAAAAGCAATCCAAGTCAAGGAAAGCCTCTTGTTTTCACACCCCAAAAGTGCTTTTCCTTCAATTGCTCCAAAGCATTGGACGCACAGGAGTAAATGAAAGCCTTAGGATGGTGATGGAGAATTCAAGGAGATAGGTGGTTAGAGGTCCAGAAAACTATGTCTGTCATTGCCACACTCCAGGGAACAAAATTGCTCACAACACTTCTTTGATTAGACACCTGATCAATGTCCAGGAGATGACCTCAGTGAGGCAGCTCCGTAAATCCGTGCCTCTGGGCTCTCTCTGTACTTGGCACACACAGCTTCTCATAAGAGGAAACCCAGCTGTTTTCACACATGATAACAACCCTAGAAAGGCCTGGCTTTGGAAGAGAAGGCTGGAGCGAAGAGCCAGTGCCTCCACACGGAGGACACCCAGAGCTCTCAGATTCCCCAGATCACTCCTTCTGAGGATAATGAAATCTGGTCTCCATACAATTTCCTCCTGCAGACACATTGCGCTATAAACTGATTTGGCACTGCCTATACAAAAAGCAGAAGTTGAGGTGGGGAAAAAAAAGGTACTGAATATCATGTCTTTTCTTGTGGATTTTTCTCTAAGCAGTGACAGGTTACACCAAGAGTTGCTAACATAAGCAGGAAACACTTCTGATTAATGCTTTAACAGAGGCAGCAAGATCTGACACAGAATTTGTCAGAAAATATAAGAGGGCCTGAAACAAATTATTTATTGCTCCCGAACCCTGTACAGGTCAGCCACAGCAGAATAATAGAGTTTGGCTGTGAAGACAAAAGGAATGAAAAATTCGGAAGAATTTTTTTCCCTACCAGCTGGTAAATATAAAGTAAAAATGACATACTTCCCTTTTCTAGGGTAGAAATATACACAAGGTAAATTCAAGGGCATACATAGACAGTGTGGAGAATTCCTAGTCCTGGCTGAGATGTTCCCAGTTCATACGCCTGCTCTTTCTCCCTTCTGGTGGTCAGGAGAGGGTGGTGAGGGCAGGGTGCATTCACACAGGAGAGAAAATAGCTATCCATGTGATGGATAGATACCAGAGTGCCGTGCACAGCTGCAGTGCCCGAAGACAGAGCCCAATAAGCAGGCAGGGATGGAGACATGGCAAGACCTTACAAACCATGAGTCTGAAAAAAATGAGCCTTAGCCTTGGTCTATTGGGTTGTCAGGAAAGTCATGACGCATTTTTGCAATGAAAAACATAGAAAAAATACGTCATGACTTTTCCGACAACCCAATATTTTCTTAGCCAGTAGTAAATCTGGCATTTAAAAAAAGAGAGAGACTCCAAGAGAGAAGATGAAGTAGATTGTTTGACACACACAAAAAAAGGCTATGAATTCAGGTTGCTTACCTGAAGAGTCAAAACCTGATGGTCCCAGGTTGGCCTAACTGGGATGGCACGTCACTGCCAAGCCCTAGTTATCACTAAAACACAGAAGTTTCACTGCCCTGCCAACAGCCTTGAGCTTCTACCCAAGGTTTCCCTCCTCAGATCTGACCATCCATCTTACCTGGGAATTTCGGAGGTCAGAAGCCTATATGTCCCCTGAGTGGGGCCAGCTCTTTCTCCAGGCTTGGGTGTTGCCCTCCTGTAGTAGTCAGTGCATTTGGCTGTGTCTGGAATACAGAGAGCATTTTCCAGAATAACCATCTCGTGTGTCTGGCTTTCTATAACTATGCTTCATGGGGCTGATGGAATACCCTATTACTTCTCCATTCTATATTTAGAAGAAAAGCTCTGATTCACCCCCACTTTAGTCCTGGGACCCTTCAAAGGAACTGGTTACCTCCCCCAACTTTCCTCTCCAGGCCCTTATGCAAAAGGGGTCCTTAACCTCTTCTACTACAAGGGGGTCGTCTCATTCCTGACACCTTCAATGGTAACCTTGCTATCATGTACACAGCTTTAGGAAGTCCCTGCTTCAAGATTTCCCAAATCCTTCTCTTTTAGTCTTTTTTTCTTTTAGACCTTTTAAGCTTTCATATCACAGAAAACCATGATGAGAAAACCAAATGGAAACGCTTTCCAGAGCAAAATGAATGGAACCATTAAAATAAGATAAGCGACGTAGCATTCAACTGCAGAATTTGGCTGGAGAGACTCTGTTATCTCCACCTTAATACTGCCTATCAACACTGACGCTCACATCCTAGCCTTAATTATTATATAAACATAGCTACACCCAAGCATCTTGGTTCAAAGTCTATTCTGCCTGTTGGCATTGCAAAGGGGTGACAAATCACTCTAAATTCTTTCTAAGATGTCTATAGGGATTTGGGATTGATTAACAACTGCATTTTCAATTTTACTGCAAACCAGGTTTTGAAAACAGTGGAACTTTTGTTTCTAGAAAATAGGCACTTTAAAAAGTGCTGAATGCATATGGAGCATTTTTGAAGACTCACCTCCCCCAGGACTCACATCCTCTGAACAAGTAAATCAGTCTCCGAAACTACCATTTGCTCAGTCATCGTTTCTGACATTTTGATGACAAGGAGGGTATTATCAGATGAAGAGAGTAATGCTCTATTACCCAATTTTTGAGTTATTAGTGTTGGTGATGAACTGCTCATGGCAGGAGTTATCGAGGCTCGCCTATCAAGCCCTGGAATCACACAATGGTGTAATGAGCCCTGACCTCAACTTAAGGTTTAACTTCTACTATTGATATGATACATTGGTCAAATCACTTAAGAGATTTTGCCTATTCGCCAACAAGATGCAGACAAAAATTTTCCCCACTTTCTTACTCTACACAATGTGGAGTTGATAATGCATCTATTCATATAACCATCTGAAATGACCTATGCATAAACATGGTGCTTTGCCTTGATGCCTGCACTACCTGACACCGTCAAAAGATCTGATCAACAGCCATGGTTATGCTCATCCCCATTGACAGTTTAGCTCCTGCCACTCCATTCTTGGCTGACAGTTGCCTTGTCTGACCACTCTGTTCTCTGTCATTTGACACCAACTCAGCCTCCCTCTTCTACTTGCTAATTTTTACCTTTTCCTCATTGTTCCCCCAACCACTCAATGGAGCTTAAGCAATTAGTCAGCCAGACCAGTGCTTCTCAAACTTTAGCACACAAAAGAATGGTAGGGATTTCTTGTTCATACAGATTCCTGGGCCCCACCCTCAGAGTTTCTGATTCAATAGGTCTGGGTAGGGGGCCTGAGTATTTGCATTTCTAACAAGCTCCAGGTGCTGCTGAATGTTTCTAGTCACTTTGAGTAACACCAAGGTACATAGGAGTCCTTCCCTGAGCATGAAACTACTGAGGAATTAGAGAGCAATATGGAGTTTGAGAGGAACCGAGAGAAGGGGGATATAATGTCAACTGAGTAGTATTTGGAGACAAGCGTAGAACAAAAATAAGAAATAAATTTGCTGAGGCTAGTTTTATGTCCCAATATATATATGGTCTATCCTTGAGAATGTTCCATGTACACTAGGAAAGAATGTATAGCCTGATGTTCTAGGATGAAGTGCTCTGTAAATGTCAATTATGTCCATTTCATCTAATGTGTCATGTAGGGCTGATATTTCCTTATTTATTTTCAGTTTGGATGATCTATCCATAGCTGTCAATGATGTATTTAGGTCCCCTACAATTGTCACCCCAATAAACTTTAATAAAACAAAAAGAAAAGCAACATATAGTCCTACTATACAAGTTCAGGGTGATTATAGAACAAACCCTGATGTTCTGCAGTGGTTTTCCCAGCACTGAAATACAGGTTAGTATACGGATCTGAGTATATAATTTGGGAATTACATAGAGGTCCTGATCATTGTTCTGGGTTTTTTGTTTGTTTGTTTGTTTTTTACTGGACTGTTGTGATTCTAGAATGTCCAAGAATGTCACAATAAAGTTATTTTTCCAGGTACTAGCTTCCTAAAAAAGAAATGGACTGGAAAAATACAAAGAGATTCAGAAAAACTTTCTTTTTTCTTTTTTCTTTATTTTTTTGGGGAAATTTTTAGCTATGTATTTTCAGATACTATTTCTTTTTTTTTTTTAATTGGGGAATTGGGGGAAGGAAAGAGCACTGGGAAATTGGGGAAGGGGAACAGACAAGTTGCTGTCGTTTTGTTCTTCAGCCTAGTTGTGGAGGACGTCACTTCACTGGCCCATGTTGGCACCAACACTGCGCTCTTCCTGGTTGAGGCAGATCGGTTGCCAGCCACTGGAAGGCCACCCATGGTGGCCCTTGGCTGCTCACGCTGGCTGCCAGCCACTCACAGTAGCTTTATGGCAACCCACTGCAGCCACACTGCAGCCCATGCCGTCACTGGCAACCCATGGTAGCCCAGCTCCAGGTGGAGCTGTCATCCACCATCCCAGTCGCAGAGGGCACAGCATCACCAGCCCTAACATGGGATCGAAACCGGGGCCCCGCTGCCCAGAGCTAGCACCCCAAGCCAGCTCCCAACCAATGCACCACTCGGCCAGCCCCAGAAAAACTTTCAAAATATAACAGTATCAATAACTAGAAATAGAAGCTTTAAAATTTTTTTTAGACAAAGCTTTAAGCAACTATTATAACCATTCCCCATAAGAGAAAGTAAACTAATGAGATATATGGAAAAACAGATGCTCACAGCAGAAAAATAGAAACTTTAAAAAGGAGCAAATGAAAATTTTAAGCTGAAAAGCATAATATCTGAACTAAGCAATTCACTGGACAGGCTCAGTAATATAATGGAGATGATAGAAGAGTCAGTGAACTCACAGATAAATCAATACAAATTACTCAATTTATCCTAATTACACAAGAACAGAGAGGGAAAAGAAAGCTTTAAAAAATAAACACAGACTCAGGAGTCATTGGGAAAATATCTAACATTTGGAGTCCCAATTAGAAAAGAGAGAGCTATTGGTGCAGGAAAAATAATGAATAAATAATGACTAAAACCTTCCCAAATATGGTGAAAGACATATGTTTACAGATTCAAGAAGCCCAACAAATCCGAAACAGGATAAATTCATAAAAAAATCATAGGATAAATCCATAGAAAATCATTCCCAGACACATCAAATTCAAACTTTTGAAAACCAAAGATAAAGAAAAGAAAATGTAAAAGCAGCCAGAGGCGGGGAAAATGACATATTACATATAGAGAAAACTATTTGAAAGATAGCTTATTTCTTATCTAGACATTTTGGAGGCAAGAAGAGAGTAAGTACAACAACATCTTTATAGTGTTGAAAGAAAAGAATTGTCAACCCTGAAAATATCCTCAGGAATGAAGGCAAATGAGTCCTTCTCAGATGAAAGAAAGCTCAGAATTCATCACCAGCAGACATGTTTAAAAAAATGCTTAAAGAAAGCTTTTCAGGCTGCAGAGAAGTGATAACAGAAGGCAGCTTGGAACTTCAGGAATGAAATAAAAGCATCTTGAATGGTAAATACCTTAGAAAATAGACTATATTTCTTCTCTTAAGGGTTTAAACATGTGTAAGTACTGAAAGCAAAGATTATAACATTATTTAGTGGGTTTTTCAATGTGTGAATATGTAATATATATAAAAACTATAACAAAAGAAAGAGATTAAAAGAATTTATATGGTTGCAGGGCTTCTACATTTTACTCGAAATAGTAAAATATTAGTTCCAAGTAGACTTTGGAAAGTTACATATGTATATTTTAATTCATTGAAAACCACCAAATATAATACAAAATGTTATAGTCAAAAGGCCAATTGATAACTTAAAATGAAATACTAAAAAATACTCATGTAAGCCCAAAAATATCAGGAAGAGGAGAAGAGAGGAAGAGAAAACAGAGGGGATAAACAGCAAACCATCATAGGGTAGACTTAAATTCAACCATATGAATAAATACATTAAGTCTAAATGATTCAAATGCCAATTAAAAGATGCAGATTGTCAGATCAGATAAAAATACGAAAACATTATTCTATCAAAAACATTTTAAATAGAATGGTCCAAATAAGTTAAAAATGAAAGAATGGAATAAGATATACAAAGTGAATGCTAATAAAAAAGAAGAAGCTGGAGGGATTATATTAATATCAAAGTAGACTATAGAATAAGGAATATTTGTAGGGACAAAAAGGGACATTAAATAATAACCTGATGGTCAGTTCACCAAGAAGACATGAGTCCTAAATGAGTATGCACCTAACAACAGAGTTTCACAACACATAAAGCAAAAATGGATAGAAGTGCAAGGAGAAACAGATATACCCATAATATGCTTGCAGACTTCAACACTCTATTCTCAGCAATCAACAGAATAAGTATACTTAAAATCAGCAAGTGTATAAAAGACCCAACACCATCTATCGACTTGACCTACATCCCAATTACCAAGCACTCTACCCAAGAACAGCAAAATGCACGTTTTCACACATAGATGATTTGTTAAGATAGACCATATCATGGGCCTTAAAACAAACGCTAAAAAATTGAAAGGAATGTAAATCATTTAAAGTATGTTTTCTAACCATAACCAAAGTAAACTAGAAGTAAAACAAAAAGATATCTGTAAAATCTCTGAATACTAGGAAATTTTGGAAAGTAAACCCATGGGTCAAAACAACAGTCCTCAGGAAAATTAGTAAATATGTTGAACTACTTGAAATAGAAAAAAGGTAAAACTAAAATGTTCAGGAAAAAAAATATGAGACTTTGGGTTAGCCATACAACCCCAAAAGCACATCACAGAAAAAAAAATGATAAATTATCTTTACCTTTATTATAATAATCCACGACGACGGCAGGGCTCATTCAGCATTTCCCAACCTTAGCATTACTGACATTTTGTGCAAAGGAATTATTTGTTGTGAGGGGTTGTCCTGAGTACTGTAGGATGTTTAACAGCAGCCCTGGCTGCCAGTATAATGTGCACACCCAAACCCTGCACAGCTGTGACAACAAAAATGTCTCTAGACATTGCCAATTGTCCTTTGTGAAGACAACATCATCCCCTACCTCCCGAATGGAAAACTGCTGCTGCGATTTATTAGTTTTAACTGCTGTATATCTTTTCTTTCTCTTTTCTTTCTACCTGACACATTTTGTATTGTCAAACTTAATTTTTGCCAATCTGATGAACGCAAAGTAGAATCTCATTTGTATTTCCCTGATCTGTATTAAGTTGAGAACATCTCTGTATGTTTATTGTCCATTTGGTTTTACTCTCCTGTGAATGACCTGTTCATGTCCTTTTTCTAACCTTTTTTTCTTATTGAGTGTAAAATTCTTTATATATTCTGAGACTAATTTTTTGTTAATTATATGTACTGCAAATATACTTTCTAAATACATGGCTTGTCTTTATCCTTTGTTTATCAGTCTTTCAATGTATAGAAATTTAAAAAAAACTTTATATAATCAATTCATCAACTTTTTCCTTTACTGTTTGAGCTTTCCATGTCTTGTTTAAATATTCACCCCTTTCCCTGTGGTTATAAAGATATACTCTCATGTTTTCTTCTGGAAGTTTTGTTTTTAATATTTACATATATGCAATTTCTATGGATAAGTTTCAATTTTATTTTGTTCCATATAGACAACCAGTTGTCCTAATATCATGCATTGAATAGTATATCTTTTAACACTAATTAGCAATGCTACCTCTGTCATATATTTCTACTCTGCTCTGTTAGTATATTTGTCTCTCTTGGACAGTACTACACCATTTTAATTATTAAACCTTTAAGATAAATTTTCATTTACATTAAGAAAAGTCCCTCTAATATGTTCTGTTCAAAACTGGCTAGACTTTCATTGTACCTTTTTAATTTTATATATATTTTAGAATTGAGTTATCACATACTCTTTACAGAATTTTAATTGAAAGTATGTTAAATTTATAGATTTATTTCAGAAGAAACAAGATCTTTATATGTTATGTTCCCATAAATGTTTTTTCTCTCCAGTTATTGCCTTTGTAATTATCTTTAAATAAAGTTTTATATGTTTTTTAAAATAAATTTCTAGTCCAAATTTTGTTAGATTTGTTTATGATATTTTTTGTTTTCTGAAGCTATGTATATGTCAATTTTTAACAATTAAAATTTTCATATTTGTCACTAACATCAAAATAGGCAATGGTTTTTTTGTACCCTGATATTATATCCTGCAAACTTGTTATACTCTATAATTAATTCTAACAATTTGTCAGTAGTTCCTCATGGGTTTTTTGTGTATATCATCTATGAATACTGGCAGTTTTCTTTCTTTCTTTCCATTACTTACAATTTGTTCTTCTTGCCTTACTCTGATGATTATGATCTCTAAACACTGTCAAGCATCAACCACAGGTATCCTTGTCTTGCTGAATTTAAAGACAATCTCTTTCTCTCTCTCTCTCTCTCTCTCTCTCTCTCTCTCTCACACACACACACACACTCACACACACACACACACACACACACACATTGTATAATAACTGTCATGTACCACTTCTTTCTTTAACCACTCCTAAAATTGCCATAAAACTCAATTATAAAAAATATTATTTTACTAATAATGAAACAGGGACATTTTAAATATGTATCCTTTTTACCCAGTAGGGCCAAGACAAGAGAATGTGTGTTACTTAAGACAAATCCACCACTAGAAAGATACGCAGCTTCATTTATTTACATCAGAGAACCCCAAATAGTAGAACCTAATTGCTGGTGAATGGATTGTCAGTACTCACAAGAGCCCATCAACATAGTTTACCTTGAACATCCTTATCACCCCCATCTCCTTCCTCTCCCTTGTCCCATCCTGATTTACTTCCATCCAGTGACTCATGTTTTAAGGGAAATTGGAAAAAGACTCTATTTCCAGAAAGGGCAAAAGCTATAAGTTTACATGAAAGACAGCATGTCAACAGTGTAGCCCAAAAAAAAAAAATCAATAAATCAAAATAACAGATGGGCTAACCAAAATAAAAAATATATATAACTCCTGGGTGTCATGTAAAATTTATGGAATATCTGATTTTTTTATCCCCTGCTTTTTAAATATTGATTTCCTGTAGGATAGCTCTCTGGCTTTTTAGCATTCTCATAATTTCCTTTGTCACTTCCACATTTCTTTTTTAAATATATCTGATGACATGCAGTGACTGATTTCTGTCTTCGCATAAACAAGTCAACATGCAAATTCAAACATTTAAAAAGTGTATAGAAATAACAAGGATTTGAAACATTATAAGTAAGAAACTTAAAGGACTGTGAGCCACAAATGACATCAAGAAAAGGTAGCAATAAGGAACTACACTTACAAGCTACGAGTAAACCTAACATGAAGACAGATATAAATCTAATCTGAATTCTTAGAAAGAAATCAATCAGCTAATTTTTTTCTACATAGACAAAAGGACAAAAGATTTTCACTTTGGTATTCAACTTGTTTTGCTCTGGCACTTAACATCTATTTTCTCTGACTATAAGATAAATGCCAAAAAAAATAGTTTTGATTATACAAGAGTAGGTTGTTTGCCTGTTCAGGTCAAAGCTAGGAAGAAGAATTGCTGCTTTGTTTTATATGCCCCACAGGTTGATAGAAATGGACTTTAAAAAGAGGAAAACCAAAGACATAAGGAAATCATAAGCATTCAAGTCCATCTGGCTCTATTTTTTCCAAAGTTGATTTGAAAAAAAAAAATTTATTAAGTAAATCTTTTTTTTTAATACAGGTATGGCAAAAAGCGGAAGGATATGAATAATCCTAGTTTTAAGTCTAACCTTTCTGATCTGACAGAGTCCTGAGAGGACAGGTGACTTTCCCAGCATCACACAGAAGACTACAGTCGTCAACAACTTAGCCTGTTTCTCTTTTTGTTGCATTATGTGCTTAACAATTGTAGATGTTATTTCTGTCCTCAATTATCACAATACAGGCAACTGGATTCTTTTATCACTAACAGAAGTTAGCTAAGAACAATAATCTATAAATTTCTGAATTTACTTTTATAAAGTATATATCAGGAATATTAAATATCTAGAATTACATCATTTGGAGATACAAAAAAAAAGATAGTTATTACAAAATCATAAATGGAAATTAAGGCCCTTTGCATTTTACGGTCTATTAAATAGAAAAATTTTGGAAACTGATGTTTCTGAAAGAAATGACTGATGATCTCTTTTTAAATCCATTTTCAACATGATTAAGTACTTTTTAAAACAAAACTGGTTCAATAATTCTAAAGTAAAATAGTCAAGTGTTTAAACAATGTGAAGAGCATATTTAAAGTCTGACTATTCAGTCATTCCAACAGGAGCACGCCATAAAGAAAACATCAGATTGGTTAAATGTGTTTTTTAGTCTTGGTTTACTCATGGAAACATTGTTCATGATTTCCTTACTGATTCCTACAGTCTATATATTTCTTTTAAATTTTTTCTTTTTATGTTTCCCAAGTTCACAATTCACATAAAATGCCCATTGAAGTAGACAGAATAATGTTACAAATATTTCAGAGCTCTTTGGGGATTCAAATAGGTTTTTACAATAAAACTTTGATTACTCGAAGAGCACAGACATGCTTGAAACTTAACAGCAGGAAAAGGGGGCACCCTAGTTTGAAAAGTGTCGAGGGAGATTGTAGGGTTGATGCACTGAATCTTGAACCCTGGAACCCAGGCTAAGCACCAAGCCAGAAAGGTCAGACAGCACTGGACATGGCTATAGTGGGGGTGGGGGGTGGGGGAAGGCAGCACTTGGAAAAGATGTGCAAGGTTGTGGTTTCCTGGTAATTTGACACAGACAGTACCACAGGGCTTGCTTCATTATATCATTGTGAAATTTGGACTCAAATAGAATGAGGCAAACCCACAAGTTAAAGTGTTTTTAAAGTAGCTTAATAATCACTTTGAAAACAGAACAGAACACCCTCTCAGCAGCATGACTGGAACTTTGATCGACAAACATCCAAGGGACACAACCAATCTTTCGTGAACAAATACAAGAAGTATTACTGGGAGCGGGGTGGGGGGCTTGAAGTAAATTACCCCTAGAAGTGAATTACCCCTGGTGGTAGCATTATCTGATACAATGTTTTTTTCCCGAGATTCTGAAGAAAATTTGCCCTCAGTGAAAGATTTATAAAAATTATAGTAGATAACACAAGCTATTTGACCTCTTTTTAAAAATCAAAGGTATTACATTTTTTTAGATTTCTCCCCCCACCCCGCACACACACTTTTTTTTTTTTTTCTCATTTAAGAATCAGCTGCCAAAAGCATGAAATCCCACCTGGGCATGTGGCCAGTTGAAATAGATTCTTCCTCTCAATTTTTGTCTTCTGGATTCCTTGATGACCTGATTTCATATCATGTTATGCTGCAGAGCTAAGGATGGCTGGTTACAAATCAGGGCTGTCTGTGCAGTGGGGGTGGGAGACAGGAAGACAAATAAAAAGAGAGAGAGTGAGGGAGACCACAACCCATCTTGGGGTTCGCAAGTTCCCCAACCTTTCCTTCTGCTGCGTGTCAATTTCATCCAGGTCTAAGCTCATCCCACACTTGTCATGTAGACCAGGCCATGGGCACTCTCACGGAGGGCCCAGACCACAGCTTAAAAACCACTCATCTACCACAGTGTCACATGACTTCAAATGACTCCCCAGGGGCCACCTGCTGTGCTGGGTTATCAGTTCCTCCTCTGAATTCCTAATCCATTTCTTTAACAACTACTGTTTCTTGCACCTTTTCAACAGTTATGCATGTATTCATTTGTATATTCAAAACATGGATCTTTTTTTTTTTTTTTTTAGTACCTGCCATGTGCAAGGCCCTATGCTGGTGCTAAGAACGCAGCGTTGTGCACAACAGTCACTGATTTCATGGTGTTTACATTTCAAGGGGGAACTGTTAATCATTAAAATAGAAGAACATCTCATAAAGTTAGAACATAGCAAGTGAAAATGTTCAGGCCGATGCTGGGACCACAATGTGCCACGAGCTTGCTGCACTGTGAGGAGATAATACTTATTAAGCACTTACCACGTGCCTGGCACATGGACAAGTACAATACCTCTGCTTCCTCATCGGGTGTGAAGTTGAGCTGGGTTCTTTCTAAAGTGCCTGTTTAAAATCTAGATCAGTCATTTGGTTAGCCGCTTTAGCTGAGGTTAGACTTCCTGCAAACTTTTGCCTGGAGTTTAAGCTGTGCCAAAGAAAGATATCTATGCTCAAGAGATCTCTTGAAATGACAATGAACTGGCAGTGTGTGTGTGTGTGTGGGGGGGGGGTGGAGGGGGAGAGGACTTTCTAATAAGTTATGTAATATGATGGAAAGATGTAGACCTAGGTTCAAATGCCAGTTCCTCAAATGCCACTAACCTTTCTGAGCTTCCTCAGTTAGTTGGGGGTAATTCATTCCTCTCAGTATTATTAAGAGGATCAAATACATTTTATTTAACAAATATTTATGACATGCCTCTTGTGTTCTGGGCATTGTCCTTGCTACTGAGGATGTAGTATTTAACAAGACACATAGTCACTGCCCCTGTAAGGTGCCTTAGTTACCAGCACTTTCTTTGTCTTTTTTTTTTTCTTTTTCTTTTGCAGTTGGTCATTTGGTCACTAACAGATAGAGGGCAGGGTTCAGTTTTGTGTGAAACCCTCTGGCCATCTCCAGGGAACAGTCTGAGGGCTGATCAGGTAGGCCCAGCTCTGAGCTGGATCTATGTCCTATCAGGTGAAGAGCAGAGGATGTTCAGAATCCACTCAAACCTGTGCCCCGGAGTGGCACTCACTGGGAAGGGTTTCCTGGTCCTGGCTTCAGGGGCAACACTTCCCCTGATGTTCAAAGGGTCCCCGGATAAATGCATTCCAAATTTATTTGCAAATTCTAAACCATGGGCCTTTATTTGAAAAGCCCTAATATTTAAAAATCAGGAGAATCCCCTTTCCCTCCACTCCATTCTTTTCTTTCTCAGCACAATGACAATACCGTTCCCACCTCTACATATTGCTCAACACCGAATATATCTTTAAGAAAATCTTAAGCACAAGAAAAAAACTCATCCTTGGGCTGAGTTCAACTTGAACACCATGAGCTAGGGCGTGTATAAATCTTGAAAAAGTGTTAATGAATAAAACACAGAGTTTGATTTTCTTTTTATATGATTTGAGAAACTCACCCACACAGTAGCCTATGGGACACGCAGAAGGGATGACGAGAAGAATGATGCAGCTCGCATTGCTCAATGGCTCCTTAAATTAATGAACACCAGATATGTTGGGGCTTTTTTTTTCTCTCTTTTTTTGTCTTCCAAGTTTTCTATTTACCACTCCACATCCTCCGTGTTCTCGGAGTTTGGTGCTCTGGAATAATGACTTGCTGAATCCTCTGCAGTGTTTTTTTTAATGTGCCTAGAAGCATGAATGTGTTAAAATTAGTTCAAAAGAAAAGAGAAGGGAGAGAGAGCTAGGCTATGTGAAATCCACTGTAATCCTTTCTGAAGTTAATCTGATGATAATCAGCTCTCATAGAGGTGATCATATTCACCCTCCCTCCTGTCATCAGGGGTATGTTTCTCCTGCTATTCCTAAGAGAACCTAGAGGTGCTGAGGACCGGTTAGGGGACCAAAAATGAATAGCGACACATATGCTCTGACCGGCTGTGAAATGATTCATTTCAATACAGTGAAATTAAACAGCTCCCTGGTTGCGGACTTTTATTCATGTTTTATATCCAGGCTGGGTTTGATTTAGAAATCTGATGGACTTTGAACTGTAGTTTTCACTGTTTACTTTAAGGATTAATTAAATATGAAAGCTTTGGGTGGGAAATCACATGAGTTGATTTTGAAGTGGCAGTTGGGTTTTGGTTGTTTGCTATATTTTATTTTATTTTTAAAGTGACTAAGGAAAAGTGAATTGGCTGTATTTGCTATTTGTTCAAGTTTCAAAGTGCTGTTTCAGGAAAAAGTGTCTTTGATTTAGATCAAATTCTGGGTCTTTTTCAGCAGAAATGAATCAAGGAGAATGAAAGCAATGGAGTTGACTTTTTAAAAGGAAACAGACTGGTGTCAAATGTTGTTGTCCAGAGTTGTGTATTGGTGATAACTGGAGCTGCTTTCCAGAATTCACAGGAAGTAATTATGACCAGATTTGGTTTTGTGGTCCTCACATCCCATCATTTCCCCACCACTCACCCACCCTTCCAACTCTCCACCTCCATGGACGTCATTTCTTTTATCCCAACAATAACCACACAAGAAAATAATGGACTCAGCTCAAGGACATCAAAACAGTCAAAGCAGTCTTTCTGAAAGCAGGCTTATATCATTCTGCTTCACTACTGAGCGAAGGCTGTTTTCCTTAGGTTGAGTTCTTGAGGATCCATATGCTTTAGATACTAAGCCAGAAGGAATGGACTTGTCTTCCCTTATGTGGGAACTTGCCCTATGACCTAACCTGTCCAAACAAATCCTGAGCAGTCATCCTCGTGTCCTCTTAGAGAGAGACAGTGGAAACAAGGAATTGTCCCTCCCACCTGAGGATTTTTTTTTCCCACATGGGTCTTAAAGTTAATAAGAGCAGTATGAATATGCATTGTGGGTTAAGTACAATTATCTAACTATAGCAATATCCCAAATATTAAAAAAAATGAGGTGATTCATATGAAAATCCTACAAATCTATAGAACACTAACCAAAAATAAAGTATCGACTATGTTTGAGGTGATAATTAATGTTAGAGCAATATTAAATATCCAGAAAAGGTATATCTATACAGACAGAAAGCTGATTGGAGGTTGCCAGAGGCTGGGAGCTAGGGAGTGGGGGCAGGAGGACAATGGGGAATGACTGGTTAATTGATATGGGATTTCCTTTTAAGGTGATGAAAATGTTCTGGAACTAGATAAAGGTAATGGTTGCACAACACTGTGAATGTAGTAAAAGCCATTGAATTGAACACTTAAAAATGGTTAATTCTATGTTATATAAATTTCACCTCAATCTAAAAATTAAGTTGGGGTAAGCATGAACCTCTAATATTTTAGAATGTCTTATATAAAATTTGTGATGCAAATATGCAAATAAAAAAGGATTGATGCTAGAAGGGCCAGCTATCTAAAACCACTTGTTCCCAAACATTGTAAATTGCTAATTTAAATTTAACGTAGCACTATTAAATTCAAAACAAGAGAATTTATGCACAGGCATATAATGTGATTAGGGAGTTTACAGACTTCAGAGCTCAAATATCTAGCTAGAATTAGATTGGTACAATGTGACCCAGAAAAGTGAGATGAAGCTGACAAAACAATTCAATTAGTTTAAATATCAGGAGATATTGCCTAATGGTGAAGTCAACTATATTCTGAAAAGTGCTGCCAGAAGAAGTTATCCAAATCCCATAATTTGGGTCATTAAAGATGGATCTGAAAAAAGGAAAAATTATCTGGAGTAAGGGCTGGAAAAACTCTCTGAATACTAATTTTACACTGGCAAGGGTGGGATGAAATGACATAATGGGTACGTTAGTTTCTAGGTCCAATCTCCAGTGGCTCTGGCTTTCTTATGGATTGTACATAAAAACTTAGATTTGTTTAAGTTTTATCTAGTAAAGGATTTATTGAGGGAGGATTTGAAACATCAAAGATGAAAGACACTGCAGAGAAAAAAAACACTTTGGATTCAACTACTGAAACAAATCAAATTTATATAGCTGTTACACAGATTTTCTCTTTAAGTCCTTGCTCTCGACATCAATGAATTTTATCGTTTAACTTGTTCTTCTGGTCATTTTTAATAAAAAGTTCAAATAATGATGTTATAAAGGATGAATGACATTTCAGGTCATATAAATAGATGAAGACACCAGCTCTCCCCCATGGACAGGGACAGGAGATCCTGTCTGAAGAAACACACTAAAGGTAAAACAAAAAACAAACACAAAGAAAGAAAGAAAAAGAAAAAAAAAAGAAAAATGGGAAGAATAAGTTCCTACACCCATCTCCCCCATAGCCCTCAGAAAATTTAGCTAAGAAGGTGATTGTAAGAATGACAAAAGAGTAATTCACATTGCTTGAGACGCTTCTCTATATGCTTTTGAAGGTAGGAATCAATTCAGAACACAAGGAAGTCTTTTTAAAGCTTTCCCAGAGATTCCAGGGTACATGAGGTGGGGTGTGCATTTACACTGGACAGGAGAGCTACTAGTGAGAACAGCAGTAGCAGCTAACATTCTATTGAGTAATTCCTAAGGCAGAGAGAGATTAGTTAAGTAATGTAACCAAAGTTGTAGAGCTGTGATTCTGGGCTAAACATCGAGGCAGGCTGGGCATCAACCACTAGGCATTTCTAACTCCTGGAACACACTACACACATAGCACGTAGAGAAATCAAGAGGCAGAGGTGGCTTCCTGGTGAAACTTGCATTTTATCCTAGAGAGAGAGGAAGTCACTGAAAGATTTTAAGCAGAGGAAATTAAAAAGTTGATGATAGATCCCTTTGATGAGTGTGTAGAGGATGTGAGGTTGAGGGAGGCAAGACTGGAATCAAGATCAGTTAGGGGCTACTGTGATGGGTTTAGGTGAAAGAAGACAAGAATGTGAATTATAGCACTGGAGAGATGGGAACAAAATCAAGGCATATTTGGGAGACGATTCAGTAAGATTCAGTGATGTAGGGAAATGAGACATGTAAGGAAGGAAAGGGGAATTCTGCCACATGAACTGAATTCTTAGTGATCTTAAAGAAATGCAAATTCTCTGAAAGTATTTTTACATTTATTTGCTCACTCAACAACATTATTTTCATTGTTACGTTAATATGAGACTTGGCCACAAACTGCCATGGGACTGTTTGGGTTTTACCAGGTAAAATTAAATTTGTCTTTTTCTTTCTTTTTGCTTTAAAATAATGCATGCATGCTTTAAAAGAATGAGTATTCCACCAATTGTTGGGTACAATGTTTATTAGATAGAGTATGTTGATTGTGTTTTCAAAACCTCTATATCCCATTGTCTCTGCTCTGTGCTATATAAATTATGGATTGAATTATGGTAAAATCTCCTACCATACTGGATTTTTTAAATTTTCCTTATATTTCTGTCAATTTTTGCTTTATATTTTGAAGTTACATTAAGTGCATACAAGTCTATAACTTCTGTCTCTTTCATGTGAACAAAAATCTCTTATCATTATGTAGTTTTCCTCTTTATTTGCAGTTAGGCTGTTTTGTCTGATAATATAACTACCCCAGCTACATTTTATAGTGCTTGCCTATTATATTATTTATTGCCACATAACAAATTACCCAATGTAGTGACTTAAAATAACAACTCGCATTTACTGTCCTCTCAGATATTAAAGAATCTGCTTCCAACATGACTCATTCATGTGTCTGGCTAGTTGGTGCTAGTTGTCAGACAGTTTCCATTCCACCCCATAGGGGGCTTTCTCCATAGGCTGCGTGAGTGTTCTCATGACATGGAGGTTGAGTTCCCCAAAGAAAATGATTCATGGTAAAGGGCCAAGTAGATGATAAGATTATGATCTAAATTTAGAGGCTACACAGAACCAATTCCACCATACTCTATTCATTAGACCAGACCAGATATAAGAGGAGAGGAATTAGATGTCACCTTTTGAAAAGAAGAGTGTCAAATAATGTGCAGATTTATTGAAAATCACCATAACTGGGATACCCCTTATTATTTGCTTTACTTTCTGTTTTGTTGTGCCCTTGTTTTAAATATGCCTCTTATAGCTGGAATTTTATTCCAATGTGATAACCCATATCTTTTAACTAGATAATTTAGTCCATTTATATTACTTGTTGATTACTAATAAATTAGGATCTATTTTTTCCATCTTATCTTGTACTTTCTATTTGCTTCATATTTTCTGTTTCCTTTTTCCTCTCCTTTCTTGCCATCTTTGGAAATGATTTTTCTCCGCGTTCCAAATTTTCCTCTCTACTCATTTTGAAGTTATACTTTCTATGTGTATTCTCTTACTGGATGCTTTATAAACCTGCATGTATAAAGCATACATACTTAATTCCAAATATGTATGTATGAAGCATACATATTTAATTCCAAATTCTAAGTAAATCAAATGTCTTTGCTATTTTACATTCATTCAAACTTTTTCTGTGGGACTTCCTTAAGGACTGGGTTTAAAGTGAACATTTCTAGAAAAAAAGTTGTATTTGCTTCTTCAGGACACTACCAATCTAAGACCACTTTACACTCGGGAATTTGAGATCCATGTACAGAAATCAATGTAAGAGCTGGCTCTTAATTGTTATTTCTCAGAGAGGCTTCCTGTTTCCATTTTTGGTATAACTTTTGTTTTGTTTTTGCTTTTGTTCAGCTCACTTTTGTTTTAGTTCATCTTTTAAATAAGGGTGCTC